GCCTAGCCCACTTTGTGTCCCACCATCAATGGTGGTTAAGTCATCAAGCCTGTAAAACTGCAGACCTTCTCCCAGGGCAAGGCAAGCAATGGGAAAGCTCAAGGACTAGTATCTGTAAAGACTGTTTTCTAAAGATCATTTTTTCAAGGACTAATCAACTTAAATGTGCTTTTACAAATGGTCCGTCTGCAATTTCACACAAAAACCTGACCTTCAGCATGCAGCAGGAAAATGAATTATGAGCTTGGAAGGGCAGACAAGCAGGTGCTTCTTACTTCTGCAAAGAGCACCCATTCTGAAGACCCCTTGTCTCTGGAGTCTAGTGTCCAAGAGGTAGAGAAAGTATACGCTTCTGTATGCCATCCTTTTTCTTAAAGTGAAGACAGACCTAACATTTCAGACTTAATTCTAAGTTATTAATGTGGCAACAATTTAACACAAATCCTAAAAATGAACTTTGCCAGGCTCTGCTATCCCAGATTTGAAGAAGCTATCAGCACAAACACCAAATTATTAACTATATTAAGCAGGAAATGTCCAGGCACGGTTCTGGGGCCCATGTTTCAGACCTTTGGGAACATTTTCAATTTTAAATATGGTGTCCATCTCTTGTAGATAAACCCGTAGTTGTCAGCCTGTTAAGTCTTGGTGTTTGGCCTGGAAAACCGAAGAATAAAAAAATGAAGAATAAGGTCCAAATGAGAGTAGCCCTACACAAAATTTTTATGAATGTTGCTTCAAACATTAAATATTGCATATATCCTGATTAAAAGATAAAAATCATTACTCTTTATGAGAAAGAAGAATGCTCGGAAATCTGTGCTAAATCTTTGCAAGGACTCTGCAGAGAAAATAAAGCTCAATGTCAGCAAACAAATGTGCTATTTCAAAAGATATAAAATAAAAAATCTAGAAGTGGACAGAGCCCAAGAAATAGACCCAGATCCTTTACAAAAGGTCATTCCAAGCTCTGTTAATTTATTTCAGCTTGCTAGAATTCGAACAAATAAGCAATAACTTGTGTTTTATGAAATGCTACAAGAGACAATGCTATCATCCCAAGTGTTACTCTGAAGATGTGGAACCAAAGAAATTACTGCCATGGACGCTGTTGCAGTAATATTCTTCCAAAACCACAAACGCTCTCACTGAAATTATTAAAGGCTAACTGTTATTTGTAAAAGGCTAGCTTTTTATATAACCTAGATTCACTTTTTCATTCCTAATTGTCCATGTTCCTCGAGGCAATACCAGACTATTTTTAAATTAAAGATCCCTAAAAACATTTCTCTAACATGAGTTATGCAAATTTCAAAAAGTAGTTAACATTTTTTAAGTTTTAAAATATAAGGAAAATGTTCCAGAGAACAGACTGAAACAGTGATAACATCATTTTTTAAATAACTATTAAGAGTGGGAAAACAGAAAAAAAATGAAGACTGTTCTCATTAACTTATGAATCTGACGATTATAATTAGTTTTTGCCCAATAGCAATGAGAAAAAGAAAAAAAAAACACATTTTCAAAGTGGATTATCAAAAATGAGAGTAATTCAAAATGACCACAGAGCAAATTCATCCAGGAAAAATATTACCGCATTTTAATATTTACCAGTCGTCCTTTAAATGCTAACTGTTCTGTCTGTTAAGCTTGAAAGTAAAGTCAGAACTTTCCACATATTTATGATCCCAGGAAATTGGCCATCACTTAGATAATAAAGAAGTCAGTAATGATCACCTTCTCAGTACTCAAAGGATATTAGAGTCCTTTGGCTCTGGACGCTTAGGCCCAGATCTGTTCTCAGAAAAGCCAGCAGTCACCTGATTTTTACAAGATACAACCAAGTTTGCATGCAAAGGGAAAGATTAATTCCTTTGAGCCTTCAAAAGAATAGGACAATACTCTCCTTTAAGCAGAACAATTTTGTCAATCTATAAAGGCTTTCCGTTAGAAACCCTAGGAAGCTTTAAGGCATCTTGGCCCCCTGCTGTGAGTATTGATAGAGGACAACTAATTTGCCAAACTCCAAGACCTGGAACAATAAGCCTGTTAGGGAGTTGGGGGTTGATAAATGTTTGCTGAATGAGTAAACTGGATGAGAGTATGGAGACTAAATTACAACCTAAATAAAATGCTACTCTAAAGTGTAAGCATAATGCTGAGATTTAGAAAGAAGGGTGTAATTTGAAAGTTATTTTAAAACAGGATCCCCTTAGCCCTAACTTGGTAAATGAAATAAAGTTAATACTTTCTGATACACTAGAAATAAGAAAGGAAACTGGCCTACAAAACTACAGACTAATATTGAAAACCTTTTAGAAAGCCAGTTTGTTTTTCCAAGCATGTTAATTCTTAAATAGTTTATCTTATATTTAAAGGTATGCATGTCAATAGACACATCACACCTATATTAGACAAATATGATTCTTAACTATTACTACACTAAAATATAAGCCTCTGAAGAATGCGCAGTAACAGAAATGCTGCTACTCAGGATAACAATTCCTTATTGTCCTGAACTTGGAGGATGTTAATGAAAAATGATTATGACAGGATTGTGAGCATACCAACCTCCCTGAGAACAAATTTACTATATGCAATTTTCTACAAAAGACAAATGAGGATCATCAGAAAAGGATTCACAATAGGTATCTCTGGACTGCCAGTTCTCCTGGATAACTTGAAATATTATTCAAAGTATACAAAACTATTTTACATATATCTCTTAAAAGAAATGGAAATAACTACATGTGTGTATATTTTTTATCTGTCCAACCATCACAGCTCCTGACATATATCCAACATATAGGCCCTGTCCTCAAGGTCATTTTCATTGTCATCAGTTGAAATTAAACCCAGTTCATTGTAATTTCACAAAGAAACTTGGTTATTTTGCTAGATAAATTCACAACTTTTTCCACTTCTGAAATGGATGTTTAATACCCTAAAAACTGGTTTACGAGTCTAATAGACATCAATAGTGTTTTATACTCCCCCTGTTGGCTAATATTCAAAATAACAATGAATTCCCCAGGGGTTGCCTTTGAAGTGCTGAGGTTCAAAAGTAACTTGGTGACTTTTATATTTAAAACATGAGCTGGATCAACAGCAAAGTTAAGCAAAGCTGCCATGTAATGGTCAAATTCCATCAAAACAGGAAAATTAAAGTTGACAAATGACAAAGACAAACCGAAGGGCAAAAAATATGCTGAAACCTTGAACCACTAAACAATACATAGTTAAAGCCAAAAGCAGAGAACACCAAGAAACAGAGCAACATCCTTTAACTGACACAATGGCATGAAATCAATTTCATTTTAATAGCCCTTAAGGGGGTAAGAATTATTTCCCTGCCTCTGTGCCAACCCCAAGCTGTTTCCTAAGGAAGCCAAGTAATGCTGACCAACAGTAAAAGAAATTAAGAATAAAGGTCCATATTAATTAATACAAATCAGAGTTCTATATATAATAACTTGGAGCCAGTTTCAAAGGAGCTGTAATTTGGCACCCCCATATCACCTAAATTAATCACAGATACCTTATTTGTGTTTCAAGAGATGTGTGTTCAACTCTTACGGGAAGCTGAACAATAGGAGAAGACGCCTGGACTCACTGCATACAAATCTGACTGCACTTGCTGCTCTCTGCTGAGTGACTAAGCTAACTCTGGAGTCACACAGAACTAACAGAAAGTTGTGCAGGCGCTTGGGCAAGTAACTAATCTTAAGTGTCTTATCTGTAAAACTGGGCTGTTGACGGTATTTTTACCATAGAGCTGGTATGATTATTGAGTGCAACTGTGTCCATAAGGCATTTAGGAGAGTGTCTGGCACAATCTGGGCTCAATAAACGTTAGCTATGATCATTACCCAAAAGAAATTGCTAATTTCACACTGAAGTAACTGTCTGCAGCCTAAAGTATCAGTTCAGAAAAATTAAAAGGTCTTGACATGTGCTCTGCTACTTGTAGAGACTTCTCTCCTCCCAAACCGCTCGCTTACTTTTCTTGGAAGAAAGACAAAGTTCAGAAAACGCTGATTCTCCATCTCAATCTGTCACTCCTACAATCCATCTCTTACCTTCTTCGCTCTTCTGCCACCTCTGGGCTCAGGACAAGCAGCACTAACACAGCAATCCTATGAGACCAATACTATTATTACTCCCATTTCACTGCTAAGGAAACGGAGCGATTTTCTTCTCCTAGCTTTTCTGTAGACCCTAAATCCATTAAGTTGTACTCTGCCAAGGTTAATTCACAACTTGACAAGCCGGTCCCCTACACTATGTGATTCTGAAAGTGGGGCAAATGCCCTAACAAGAACTAGACTGCAAGCAGATTCTCCTAGCAACAGCCCGAGACTTCCAAGCTCGTTTTAATCAAATGAATAAGAGACGCCTTCCAAATAAACTAGGTAGGGCAGCTAATAAGTTATAAGTTACCAGGGGGCGCGTCCTTCCCGGGGGCTCAGGGCTGCAGCGCTCTGCGCGGCCCACAGAGCGCGCACCCTGAGGGCGCGGCCCGCGCGGAGCGTAGCTCCTGACAGTGCGCGAGTCCCGGGGCGCAGCCTCTGCAACAGCAACTGAGTGCAAACCCACAACATATCTTTCCCACCGACGCTGTCACGCTCCTGATGGGAAGTGGCCGGCGCACCCCGCAGGAGTCAGAAGAAACCGCGTAGAAGTAGATGAAGGAGGGCGTGGAGAAGTCTTCCCGAGCATAGTGCATCGCCTCGAGCGCTGCCCACCCGAAACGGCCGCCCCCACGCAAGGCTGGGCACGGGTCCCGAATACTCGCTGCCCGACCAACACCACCCTTCCCAGCCCGGGGATCCAGGAGGCCAGAGCGATCCCGGCCGTGAGGCAGGCACGGAGCCCGGCGCAGCGCCAAAAGGCACCGCGCAGCCTGCAGAGCCCGCGGCCGGGACGGGTGCGGGGCTAGCAACGCGTCCAGGGGCGTCCCGGCGTGGGCTGCAGCGCAGCGGGGCCGGGCCCGCACGTACCTCGGAGGCGGTGTGTCAAGCGGAGATCCACCCGCTGCAAGTTGGAGAAAAGCAGAGGCGAGTTTCCCCGCCCAGCGCACGGCGGCCGCGAACTCCGGCAGCTGCAGTGCCGCGGCGCAACTACGCCATCCGGACCCAACCCGACTTTCAGGTCCTGCAGGGAGCTCCGGGAATCACGCAGGGAAAGTGGCCGGGCACCAGAGCCGTCGTCTTCCCTCACTCACTCACTCGGAAGAGGAAAGCGCCACTCGGCTTCCCTGAAACCCTCGATTACCCCCATCGGGCCGACCCAGCGCACTCGCTCGCCCTCACACACACGCGGGCGGGGACGGGCAGGATGCCACAGCAATCAGCGCGCGGGGGGAAGGGCGCTCCTCCTCCGCCGGCCCCACCGAGGGCTGCGGGCCGCCGAGAAACTCCTCCTCCCGCCGCCCGCCTCCTCTCTCCTCCCCCTTTCCTCCCGGACTGATGGATGAGCCCCGAGCTTTGCGTTTCCTTTCGGACCCAGGAGGGAGGGAGAGAAGGAGCACGGGGAACAGCCGGGCTGCTGTGTGCCCTGGTTGGGGCGGTGGGGGGTGGGGGGGCTCCAGTCCTCCAGGAAGATTAGGGTGGCGGCGGGCGGGGGGGCCTGAATACGCGAGTGCTAGCTGCAGAGATTCGCTCCCTCAAACTAGGTCCTTCAAACTTTCCAGGGCTCTCTGGAGGAGTTGGGTTTTCATTTGGTTCCCTCTGTCTTGATATAAAAACTCTAAAGCCTCCAGTAATCTGATCACACTCTCTTGCCCACTCCCTAGCACGAGCAGCCTGCACACGTTCATTCTGTCTGTTAGTTTTTGCCACCTCCAGTCCCGCTTGGTACCTCAAGATGCTCTCTGATGGTGGGCGCCAGCGGGGTCTTGCCTCCTCCTCTCTAACAGCTGAGAGTGCATTACCCAGCAGGTCCCCCTTCTCGCAAAGTAAATTAGTACAAAAATTAGCGCATAACTGGCGCTACCCTGAGGTTGGCGCAATATAAACTAACCTGTCGGCGGCCGTGCAACTGCTTGCCTGTGAATATACCCAGCAAGCGTTGACAAATGCAGTAATCAGAATACCACTTTGATACTTCTGTTTGCACTCTGCTTTTCTATTAAAAGACAGGCTTAAATCACAGGACACTGTTTTACCAAGGCTGGTAAAATGACCATGGGTTGACAGGTTTCAGAGACCGGACTTCCAGTCCTGACTCTGCCCTTAGACTAGCTGTGGGACCTTGAACAAAAGGCTTAGACTC